ATGACTTGAATGACAAAGATGAGTATGGATGACTAGGATGACTACCGTTGACTAGGGATGAGTAGGGATGACTGGGATGACTAGGGATGCCTGGGATATCTAGGGATGACTACGGATGAGCAGTATGACTAGGATGAGTATGGATGACTATGATGACGAAGGTGACTAGAATGATTAAAATGACTAGGGTGACTTGGGTAACTAGGGTGACTAGGGTGACTTGAGTGACTGGGGCGACTTGGGTGACTAGGGTGACTAGATTGACTATCCCAGTGATCCCTAGTCATCCCAGTCATCCCTAGTCATCCCTAGTCATCCCAGTCAACCCTGGTCATCTTTTAGGGTTGACTACGGATGACTAGGATGACTAAGGATCACTATGGATGTCTGGAATGACTAGGGATGTGTGCAATGTGTAGGGATGACTGGGTTTACTAGCCCGACTATGGATGACTAGGATGACTAGGGATGACTGGGATGACTAGCCTAAGTTTGGATGACTAGGATGACTGAGGATGACTAGTGATGACTAGAATGACTAGGGATGACTAAGGATGACTAAGGATGAATAGGGATGTCTGCAATGACTAGGGATGAATGGGATGACAAGGATGACTATGGATTACTAGGATGACTACGGATGACAAGAGATGACTAGGGATTACTAGGCATGAGGGGGATTACTACGGTATTTTTCAAAAGGTAAAATTATTTTTCGGAAAGCCCTTCGTAGCTGCCATCAGTATGAAGAAAGAGGAAAAGGCGATAGCAAAAAAATATGATAAGAAATCAAAGATTGTATTTAAATAGGTCGTTCGATTGGGTTTCTTTAAACTGTTGTAGCCTTTAAACCTCTGTTTGAAACTAAACCATCGAAGCACGGTACAAAATTGATGGGAGGACCTCCCCTTAGGACCGGCGGTAAATGAATCCGGCCACAACTGACATCTGCGAGAAACTTTCTTTTGTGAGAGATTGTTTTTGTTTTTCGCTAGTTTAAAATAATAGTGGTAGCTTTCGCTAAATGCCAACGAAAGAAAAAAGAATTTGCCTACATCACGGGTTTTAGTTCCAATGTTTATAAAACCATTTCGGCTGCTGAGGCGAGATTTTCCACTACAAGCACTCCTCGTTCCTACATTTCTGCCATGCTCTTGGCCTTAAAATCGCTTTTATTCTTTTGAACGCTAAATTTGTCGAGTTTCAAACAGCGAAAGGGAAATAATATTTATAGGTTAGTGCGAACTTGAAATAGCGAGTTTTAGTTCGTACAAGTACAGTAGTGTGGCAGAGAACAATGTCCGAGCTTTGAAGGTTTGTTTCAACAAAGATCATCAAAAGTCAAGTGAAATTACACGTGAAATCTAACCCTATTAAACTCTCCAGGGAATCTACACCTTACATTACACTTACATTAAACTTTTCACAGCACGATCGAGAATTTTTCTGCCAGCTTCGCGTAAGGTCATCAAAAGTCACATAAAACTACACGTGAAATCTAACGCTACTAAATCTACTTCCTACATTACACTTACATTATACTTGTAACAGCACGATCGAGAATTTTTATGCCTCCTGCAAAACCTTGCGTGGCATTAAGCTGGCCACCTCGCAAGTCGACCGTCTTCGCTCGGCTTGCTCGTGGGCAATTATACCTTGGAATTTTGTCTATGCCGTATTTACTCGATAAAATGGCGTCCTCGATTACTGTCAAGACAGGTCAGGCGTACCCCGAGGATCGCGTTAATGAAGCAAGTATTTGAAAAATGAATCCGTTAGTAGTTGCCTCAACCAGTCTTAAATTCAAATCTGTCTTCCTGCATACGCGTAATGAATAATGACTTTTTAAGGTAACTCCTCTGTATTCCTTTATGCATAAAACCAGGAATCCAGAGTTGGTACACTCTGAAATCCATAGCACTGGCGGAAAACCCTCTGTATAACTATTCGATCAGATTGAAGTGTCTTTGAATGGATATATTGCTTTAAGGACATTTACATCAAAATCACGAAAACTGAACCGGGAGAAATTTCATAACTCCTCCGTCCTCGCGTGTGAATTCATTGCTCATTACGCATGCAGGAGTGCAGAAATGAAACTGAAATGTACAACTAAAAGCGGATTCAAGCTGCAAATAATGAATTCATTAATTGAATGTTTGGGGGGGGGGGGGAGGGGGGGGGGGGGGTACGCTTGAGCTTGACCTGGCTGGACTGTAAACTCCGCAGATGAAAAAAGGTCCTCTAACACCGCTTCCTTTCGGGACAAGCACTTTTACACCCTCCCAAAAATCCCTCCCTGGCCTTTGGTGCTATTAGGGGGGGGGGGGGGAAGGGAGGGTGGTGGTACGCTTGAGCTTGACCTGGCTTGACTGTAAACTCCGCAGATTGAAAAATGTCCTCTAACACCGCTTCCATTCGGGACAAGCACTTTTACGCACTCGCAAACATACGTCCATGGCCTTTCGTGCTATTATTTCAAATTTATTTGAAGAACAGGGGTAGCTGGAGCGTGGCTCACCATTAGTGCCTAATTATTTAATTTGCATCGTTGCTTACTATCATGATTAAAAAAAAAATGTTCAACTGCTTTGTGGAAGAACGTCGAAGCAATTCACGAAGAATTCTCACTAAAAAATGTTAGGAAGTGCTGCAAACTTATTAGTCACTTAAACACTGTGCTTATTCGGATATTAACGAGGAAGCTATTTCTCTCCTTCAAAGCATGTAAAAATATTTTTTAGCCAAGCGTCTTCCACTTTTGTTTTCTAAAATTGTATTAATATAGTTGCATTAGATAAATTTAGATTTGAGGACGAGAATGACTACGAGGAAGACATTTGACTTACAGGCTATTTGCGTAATTTTTTAAAAATATGAAGCTTCATTGTACTCTTTTTACTGAAAAAGTTAGCACTATCCTTTTTTAAGTTCATTCGCCCGTACTTAAAAAATTTCGTCGCGTCTTTTATCCTGACTCGACTGACTGCCCCTGGGTCTCCGAGGATGAGAACAATGCGACGTTTATTCGAGGATTATGAATGAGAAACTTGGTAGACTTTAATCTGCATCATCTAGACAATAACTATTCTATCTCAGCCAAAAAGCGACACACTGGAACTTAAAAAATCTTTCTGTTTTACAAATGTTTCTAAGCAATTTTAGGTAAGTGATTTATGAAATGTTTGAAATAAACTTCGTATCGAAAAGTCTGAAAATGTTATTCACAGTTGGGGGTTAAATCCAATAAATATGTTGTATAATTTTCAAATGAAAGAACTTGGACCACCTGGAACGCGATGGAAACTGGGAATGAGGGTTTTTAAGAAGAAACAAAGGAGCATGGGAAGCCATAAGAAAGTCGCCATCTTTGCTGATACAACGTACACATGCATGATGATGGCATTGAGAGCCGGGGGGTTGTACTTTAGGAATTTCTGGGTAGGGATGTGTCGCTGGGACCCTGGAACCCTTAACCTATACCAGAGCTAGTTCAGCTGAATTTTGCTACCCTATACTAGAGTAAACTCCCCAGATCCCCCCTATCCTAGAGTAGCTGTTTTCCAGAAACTACTAAGGTCAGTAGCACAGACTAGCAGAACAAAACCTTATACCACAATTCCTAGTCTTCATAAAATCTTCAACCAACTGATCAGTTTCCTGAAAAATGATACCCTATTCTAGACCCAAACGTTCTGATTTATATACCCTATCCTAGAGTAAACTGCTTGAAAACCATACCCTTAACAGCGGCACATACCTATATAGCCCACATGTGGCAGTACCAGGGTGAAATTATGATGTTTGCTCCATAAACACAATGGGTGAGTCTTCGATTTTTAAATTAAGTCTGATATTGATTCGATTTGGAGAAACGCTATTGGAGTGGAAAATTGAAATACTTTGTCATAAAAAAAAAACAATAAAATTAATTTGATCCAAGAGAGGATAAAGAGGACAGAGAAGGCATCCCACATACACACCCTATTCCATAGGTTATTCGTCTCGAGTTATTTTTAGAATCGGGATAAAGTTACCTCGCGCGCTGCGTGGATGTTTCGTGGAGGTTTCGCATGACTAAACGCCGTGCAAAAGATGTCGGGCGAAAGGCAATGAAAGCGTAAAGAGATCGAGAGCATTTCTGACTATTGAAGCGAAAAGAGTCGGCGCTCACATGGGAAAAGGGAATCGCTGGACTCTTTGACAACCCGTGAAATAAGTTTAACTCGAAGTTGTCGTAACCTCAGTGCTTTAATAAAATGATAAATTTCGCCGGTCTGTTGAAACCGGTCGTTTGTACAATAAAGCAAGTAGGACGCCAAGTGTTATTTTTGTTGAATAATAAACGACTAATAAAAGAATAAATATCAAACCAGAAATTGCTCTCTTCAAACTGTAAATTATAAATGATCCTGAGAGAATATTCAGTGTGTTAAGGATTTCCCTGATGCACTGTTAGCTCTATACAAGAGAGGAAGGGCGATTCTTTTTTAATTTCCATTTCGCTGACACCGCTTTAGTAGAAATCTCTCTTTAGTCGTTTTCGTGGACAAAACGAATAGCAATATCGCTCTCCGCGTCTTCCGCCATTTTTTTCAGCGTCAATTCGTGAAGGACGCGTGGCTCTGAGCGTGGGTCATCCACGCGAAACACATTCGCGCTATGCGATTGGCTGTTGTCTAATCCCCCTTGGGATCTGTGGTCTTTAAAATAACTTGAGGCGAATTACCTATATATGGAATAGGGTGTGTATGGGGGATGCCGTCTCTGTCCTCTTTATCCTCTATTGGTTGATCTCATCCGGTGCCATTGACTAAGATAGACTACGTTCGGTAGATTTTTAAATCGAAGAGTATAGATGTAGTTTTTCCTCCAAATAAATGCGAAAAGCATTGTTCAAGCAGCAAGTTTAGAAGATGTCGATAAAACTGTTTAACTTTCTTAACCAATTATAACTACGTTTTCAATTTGAATGCGTTACTGTTAACTGTGTAGGTTTTGTGTTGCTTTTGGATTCTCACCAGATTTTTAATTCGTTTGAAATTTTCTTTAAAGACTGGCATCCTTAAACTATAAATAATGGGATTCACGAGAGAATTTGTTATGTGTAACATTGTAAATAAATAGGTGAAAATCAAAGATTGTTGACCGGAAGAAAAAAAGGTAATATAATAAACGACAAGGCCTGGAACCCAGAGAACGACAGATGAACCTATGACAATAAACAAAGTTCTGGAAAGCTTCTTGTTTCGTTCATTATCCTGTCTGTTATGTGCGTTGTCGATAGCTGGAACTTGTTGAGTAAGTCTTGTTCGGATTGCTAAGTAAGACAGGGAAACTGTTATCAAACAAAAAATGATGACAATGGATAGGAAGGCCATGTAAAATTTATATTTCAAGGTTCCATGAACAACTAACAAACACGATGCACCCACTGTAGATGCAGCTATCCATACGAGTACAATACTGTAGATGTAAGTACTGGTGCTTGTTACACGATGTCGAAGAGGCCACAGAAAAGCGAAGGCTCGTTCCAGTGAAATGAGAGCGAGAAAAAGTACAGATGCTGTCGAAAATGCTGCTTGAAAAACAGTTGAAATATCAGGTGAATCTGTATTGCCAATTTTGCGTAGCCCAGTCATTTGTGGAAGGCCAATCACTCCGACCATAGCTATTTCAGTGAGTCCAACAAGCATATCTGCCGCTGCCAAGTTGATTAGGAGAAAAGACGTTCGCTTCAATTTATCTCGATGAATACAAAATACAAAGACTGTGAAAAAATTGCCAAGAAAGATGCAAAAACCGTGGAAAATTGCAACCCCCAACACTGCAATCTCAGGGGCTTTAGACATTTCAGACTTGTCACAGTAAAATGTTAAGGTCGACCCTCTCGATGGCGAGGTAGCTTATCTTTAGTAAAATAATGCAGTGAAAAATATTGCAGATTTGTGCCAGGATGTTATTAAGGCAGGTGTGCATCGATTATATGACAGAAATTCATTATTCATTCAAAGCTGGTATTCTGTCGTTTCTGATTGGTTTGAACCCCTCCCTGGTTGTCGCTGACCATATTTGGAAGATGCTAGCGATAAACAATCGATACGATGGGTTATTACTTCAATATGCAATCACAACCTTGTTGTTCCTTGCAAGGAAGACTATGATTCTGTCAGTTGTGTCATGCAAGAAGTAGCATACCTTTATTAGTTTAGCATCAATAATAATAATAATAATAATAATAATAATAATAATAACATTTATTTATACCGCGCAAATTCAACTACACAGTTTTCAAATGCGCCTTACAATTAAAAATTACACGAATGAATAATTATCTAGTCTATAAATTACAACATTATATCAGAAAAGGCTTTCTTAAAAAGGTGAGTCTTGAAAATCGGAGGTGCGTCTAAGATCTAACGGAAGATTATTCCGCACCTTTGGTGCGGTGGCTACAAAGGCTTGGTCACCAAGAGTAGGGAAAGTCCTGAAATTTGGATTTGAAAGCAGATATTTGTTATTTGATCTGAGGCTGTAGGAAGAATTAGGTTTAAAGTTAACGAGAGATGATAAATAATTAGGAGCTGTTCCATGGATTGCTTTGGAAGTGATTATAGTAATCTTAAGTTACAGGCAGCCAGTGTAATTCGTATAATATTGGTGTGATATGGCAATACCGTGGTGCTAGATATCGAACTCTTGCAGCTGCGTTTTGAACACGCTACAGTTTAGTGAGGGCGCAGCGGGCTAGTCCGTGTAAAAGTGAGTTACAATAGTCCAATCTGCTTGTGATGAAAGCGTGGACTAATTTCTCGGCAGATTTTATGCTTAGATATTTTCTGACGCGTCTAATATTGTGTAGATGAAAAAAGCACTCCTACAAGTTTTGGTTATGTTAAAGTTCAGGTTGAAATGGCAGTCGAACCAGGCCCCTAAATTTCTAAGGGGTTCCATGCTGGGAGAGATGATGGATTCGCCAATAGTTAGAGTAGCGCTTTTAGTTTTCTGTAGCTGCGCCTTCGTCCCAATGAGCATAAACTCTGTCTTGGAATCATTGATGATGAGTTTGTCATTGATCATCCAGCTACGGATGTCACAGAGGCACGCTTTCATTGCTGCAATGGCGGCGTCTTGATTGGAATCATCGTTTGGGTTTCAACGCTCACTGTATATCTTTTCGATCGCTTGAGAACTTTCATTTTATTTTTAATCTGTTTTTTGTTCTGGATTTTCTGAATACTGGTATTCTGTAACTATAAATTGAAAAGATGATTCAGCATCAAGGAAGTACAATTCATAAACCAAGGAAGCAAACTTGGACACAATGCATTTACACTGTGCAATGTGGCGCTCGAAGCACATAAAGCAACAGACGCAACTATGACAATGAAAAAGGTTTTGGAGAGTTTTGCATTTTGTTCCACAGTTTGCCTGTTGTGTATTACCTCGATAGCTGGATTTCTGTTGTTAATCCTTTTTCCGGATTGATACGTACGACATACAGATCGTGATCAAAGAGAAATAAATTAGGACCGAGTTACCAAGTAACCAACTACTTCTACTCGATAGCGGCCAAATCAAAGCAAAAAATACAAGGATACGGTCACAAACGCGGAAAGAAAGATCTCGGAAATTTTTTGGTAAGGGACTTTGTTTAGTCCAGTATGTCGTTCCTAGTACCATGCGTTTTCCAGTGAACCCAACCGATAGATCTGCAAGAGTCAAGTTAATAACAAGAAGAAACGTTCGCGTTTTTTGTGGCGATGAATCCAGAAAACATATACAGTAAAAGTATTCCCAAAGAGAATGACGACGTACAGTGAAGTAGCGACAAAAACGGTTCGGTAGGAATTTTGCTGTACAAGCAGACGGAACAGAATATTGTTTTAACTCTGTTGAGGATAAGCTCGACCTGAACATAATATTCACTAGACATTTAACCAGTTTTTTAATAATGGAACTTTGGAAATAATTATTTTTGTTTTCGCTACCTCGGTTGAAGTTAAATAAGGTACGGTCATATTAAGAATGTAGCTTTTACTGAAACAGCTTTTAAAAGACTGAATAATAAGAGACTATTTACTTCATTTTATGCTCCGATATTTAATTTGATAAAAATGACATGAAAAGGTAAAATGTGCAGTTAGGGTGAAAAAACCTTTTTAAGGCTTGTATAATATTCAAACGAGTTAAAATTAATCATTAGCAGAGTAAAGTTTTTGAATTGTTCGGGCCCGAACCCGAAGCGGTAGATCGTCTCGACCCCCTTTGAAACTACACTTGCAATGTGACGACCCTACCCGGGGGTGGGGTGTGAGAACATGCGCATTTCGCTCTCGAAGAAAATTGTAGTCTGAAGTCTGAAAGATTTGTTCGCGATGGAAAAAAAGCTATTGTTGTTGCTATCCAGAGGAGAAGTTGTTTTGGAGTTTAAACTGAGCATACATGACCCAGGTTTAGAGGAGACTGAAGATAATTGTGTTAATGCGAGGTTATGATAAAGTAGAAGAACTTAAAAAAAGTAAAAGAAGTTAAAAACTTCTACATGTTTAATATATAAGGAATAATGTCCTTTTTACATTAAAAAGGAAAGGATCTTTTTCTTCAGAAGTGCTCCTTTTTTCACGCTGGGTTTCTGTTTAAGTCATTGCCCCAGCAATGGTTTTTCTAAAACGGAAGCCTCATTAACAGAAAGCCCTCTGAAGTGGAAGCTGTTTATCATATAAATAACATTTGAGCAATATTTGATTTTCGGAATATTATCATTAAGTCTTATTAGATAAAGGGGGATTATTCCGGTTTACACATAAATTAGTTGGGAGGTGTTTCTCCACAAAGGCTTTAAATTTTGGATTTCAGTGTGGATTTTAAAAGATCATAGCTAAAAAGAGACTCTGTAAAGAAAACAACTATTTCGTCTATGAACCTTAACACTATATTTACATAACATCATTAATACTTTTCTATTGTAGTTTTTGCAGCGAATGCTAAAATATAAGACAAACTGTGAATTAATTTCGTTTGCTCTATTAAAAAAACACCGGCCAAGATAATTCGATCTTTTAATTAAGTCAGATATTGATGGAGTAAAAGATTAAAATTCAGCGAAAACTACCTTGTCATAAACTTATAACGAAGTTTATCACTTCAGGATTTATGTTAGTCTATTGACAAGTTTGGAGTACAATAATGTTTGATTATAATACCACAGACAAAATCTATCTAGGTACGCAGCTATTTTCAGTAGATTTTCAAATACAGTGTAGTAAGAAGACTATAATGCCATGCTAAATATTATGCTATCTTTGACTTTATTTAAATGCTGAACGCACAGTTCAAGGAGCAAGTAAGGAGACGTAGGTAAAACTGTTTTACTTTTCCGCCCGAATCATAACAATTATGTTTCCACTTTAGATGATTTATAATAAACTGTGTAGGTTTTGTGTTGCCTTCGAATTCTTACCTTCTTTTTTACTCGCTTAAAAGCTTCTCTAAAGACTGGCATCCTTAAACTATAAATAACTGGGTTCACGAGGGAATTGGTTACGTGTAACATTGTGCTAAACAGGAAGATAAAAATGGTAGAATGTTGACCGGGAGTGAAAAATAAAGAGATTAAGTAAACTACAAGGCCTGGAAACCAGAAAATGACTGACGCACCTATGACAATAAACAAAGTTCTAGAAAGCTTTGCGTTTCGTTCATTATCCTGTCTGTTATGTCCAGTATTGATAGCCGGGCCTTGATGTGTGAGTTTTGTTCGAATTGCTAAATAAGAGAGGGAGACTATAACCAAACTTAAAATAATGACAATGGACAAGAGAGCCATGTAATATCTGTATTTCAGGATACCGTACACAGCTAACAAACACGATGCACCAACTGTCATTGCAGCTGTCCATACGAGTATAATGCTGTAGATGTAAGTACTGGTGCTTGTAAGAGGCTCGAAGAGGCCACATCAAAGCGAAGGCTCGTTCCAGTGAAATGAGAGCGAGAAAAAACACAGATGCGGTTGAAAATGCAGCTTGAAAACAGGTTGAAATATCTGGCGAATATTTGTTGCTAACTTTGCGTACACCAGTAGTACGTGGAAATGCAATAGCTCCGACCATGGCAATTTGTGTGAGTCCAACAAGCAGATCTGTAACTGACAAGTTGATAAGGAGAAAAGAAGTTCGCTTCAATTTGTGTCGATGCATCCAAAACACAAATACAGTGATAAAATTGCCAAGAAAGATGCAAAGTCCTTGGAAAATTGCACCGCACAGTATAACAATCTCTGCTTTAGACATCTCAAACACGACACAACAAATCCCGTGAAGGTTGAACCCTTCGATGGCGAAGTTAGGAGGTTATCTCGCAGTAAATGCAGTAAGAAGTAGTAGACATTCGAACCAGTGTATTATCTAGGCAAGGGCACATTGATCTGTGATTGGTTGCCTGATAGATCGAATTAAAGACGAAATTCAACTTTTAGTTAGGGTAAATAATGGCTAGTCTCACTACGTACTGAACTTACTTTTAGACTATATAATCCTTTTAAAAGCCTGATGAAGATCAAGATTATAATTCTAATTTTTTGCCCAAATTTATTTCTTATAGAACTGGTGGGACGAAGTTAATAACACATGATTAAATCATGTTCTTAATTCTCATTATGAAGCTGCTCCGCTATAACATCAGATGTTATATGGAGAAATATGATGCTTATCACTCTTTACTTAGGGCTTAAGGCCGACTTTAACTGACGGCTTGGTGTATATTTATATCACTGGTCGCCGCCATGATTAAGGAAAACAACAATAAAAAGGATTTTAGACTGCTGTTCCACGTTTTTAAAAGAAAAAATCCTTTACAAATAAAAATTTACCTCAAACAGAAATTTATATTTTGAACTCGGGTTTTTCACAGAAAAATCTTTGCAGAGTAGAGGGGATTAGTCACACCTAGGGTAAAACAGGAGGTAATGATTGTAAAAATAGTATTGATACAGAACCCAGGTAACTCGAACTCTGAAGGGAAACGAAAAACAGTTCGAGTTATCAGGGTCGATTGCAAAATTCAATTTGCCATGCTAAAAATTTATATTTACTGATTTTTTGGCACTAAAGAGTATTGTGATGAACAAATTTCTTTCATCAGAAATGGTAACATGGTTATTTTTTTATGATAAAACGTGATCTGTTATTTGCACCAATCAAAATCAAATGGGTTTTAGTGTTGGCCAGTGTTAGTTTTAGTGTCTTTACCCTTATACAACAAGAAGAGTTAATGGGATGGCATCCGAGTGGAGTTAAGAACCTGCAGAATTCAAGTTGTCGGGGTAAATTTCAGTGGTGAACTTATGATCGAGCCGAAAGTGAAATTTAGTTCGAGTTATCTGAGGTAGTCAAGTTATCGGGGTTCTACTGTATACATTTCACGATAAAATAAAGTTCAAAGGAGTTAAAGAACAATATTTTTACTCACGCTGTCTATTGACATCATTTAGGATTTCCTTCGTTATCAACCTGTGTCACAGGGAATTCATAAAGTAGATTAGGGAAGAGTCGATTATTTTAAATTTACAGTGTTAACACTAACCCTAACCCTAAAACAGCATTCTCTTAAAGAAAGGTAGACCCACGACCCCGCGTTTTACTTTTTACTGACAACCAACTTTTTGCAGAGCGTACATCCACAATATAGTCTTATTTTTTTCCTTGGTTTTAACGGACTATGTAGGGCTTAAATACACGGTTGCCTTTCCACTAGATTTTAATCTAGTACCTTCGTTGTCACATGTCTGTTTTTTAAACATATCATCTTAGATGCATGAAAAGAAGTCCCGAGGCGAAAGCAACTGACCGTTCAGACCCTAAAAATCACAAGAACAAACAAACAAACAACTAGGGATTTTTTTTTATCCATACATTTATTTATTTTATTAAATTTTATAGAATTTATATCGCGTTAATTTCATAAAGTTCACTAGCACTTCTCATCAAATGAGTAGCAAATTTAAAAAAAAAACTTAAATAATCAACACTCCGATTGGATCTTTTTAATTAAATCTGACTGTGAGATTTGACATTCGGTGACATTGTTTAGACTGAGATTGATAATAGTCTATTCACTTACGTCCGGAGTAATAATAGGTAGAAGAAATTGATTTTTAGGGTATCTGAATTGACCACAATGTACAAACAGTGACATCTTCAGGGAAATATCCTCAGAATAATATTCTCCAGATAAGGATCTAGGTTTTAATAATGGCCCTTTGCAAATAATTGTTTTCCTTTCCGCTAACTCGGTTGAAGATAAGAAAGGTATTGTTGTATTAAGAAAGTACCTTTCATATAAACAGCTATTAAAAAAAACCTCATTTATAAGGGACTATTTACTTCATTTTACGGTCCGATGTTTATTTGATAAAAAAAAAAACTTTGAGGGTTAGTGTAAAATTCAGTGGAGGTATAATTAACCTTTAGCAGACTTAGCAGAGTACATGATTTGTATGATTTAGGTTTAGATTCCATATGTTTGCCGTGATAAAAAAATGCATTGTGCTTATATATATATATATATATATGCATGCACACATATATATGAACTTAGCCTGCGAAAGCATCCGTTTTTCCTCGCTCTTCGCCGCTGGGGACGTTTCGCGGAACTTTTTTTGAACTCCAATTTCAGAGTATACTGAAAGGCTAATATCTTAGAGAAAAAAAAAAAAACTAAAGTTATTTAATTTATAAAAATAAATTTAAAAAATAAGCAACTTTTTAAAACATATTTTAATTTTTTTAATACAAATGAAAAAAAAAAAAATTATTACACTGTTTTTCCACAGAGGTGGTCAAGACTTCACGCTGGGTTTCTGCTTAAGGCATTGCCCTAGTAATGCCTTTTCTAAAGCAGTAGCCTTAAAAACAGTATAAAGCTTTCTGAAGTGCAATTAATATTATTTTTGTTGAAACTTTTATCATATAAACGACATTTCCTCAATGTTTGATTTTTAGAATATTGTTATAATGGGAAAAAACGGGGGATGTACGTACTCGATTCGTAAATAATTCAGTTTGTATTTCTTCCAAGACCATCTTTACCAGAAAGGATTTTGTTTACATGGAATTGGGAGGTACATTGCTAAAATTTTTCTCTTTTTTTTCTTTTTCTTTTCAGTGTGGTTTTTAAAGGATCACAGCACCTAAGGGGAGGCGCTGTAGACAACAATTGTATTGTTTTATGAACTCTACCACTGTACTTACATAAAGTCAATAATACTTTCCTATTAGTTTTTGCAGTGAATTCAAAACTAATAAGACAAGCTGTGCAATAATTTTGTTTGCTGTATATAGAGAAAATAAAACACTAGGGCGATTCTATCTTTTAATTAAGTCAGGTATTGATGGAATAGAAGATTAAAATAACTTTCGTTGTTTCTATTGACTTAAGTTTGGATTACAGCAGCACAAGATATCGATGCTTGATTGTAAATCATACCTCAGACATACAGACACAATTCGATTAAACATAGTGTAGTAAAAAGAACATAATACCATGGTATCTATACTATCTTTGTCTTTATTTCCTTGAAATAAATGATGAACGCACTGTACAAGCAGTAAATTGGGAAACGTTGATGAAACTGTTTTTTTTTCTTACCCGAATCGTAACAATTAGGTTTCCTCTTTAGATGATTTATAGTTAACTGTGTAGGTTTTGTCCTGCTCTTTCGGATTCTCAACTTTTTTTTCTAAGTCGTTTAACAGTTTCTCTAAACACTGGCATTCTTAAACTATAAATAATTGGGTTCACGAGAGAATTGTTTGCATGTAACATTGTACCATATAGGAAGATGAAAATGACAGAAGAAAGTGAAAAAACATAGTAAACTACAAGGCCTGGAAACCAGAAAATAACTGACGCACCTATGACAATAAACAAAGTTCTGGACAGCTTTTTATTTCGTTCATCATCCTGCCTGTTATGTGCGTTGTCGATAGCTGGATTTTGTTGAGCAAATCTTGTTCGGATTGCTAAGTAAGACAGGGAAACTGTTATCAAACATAAAATGATGACAACGGACGAGAAAGCCATGAAAAATCTATATTTCAAGATACCGAGCACAACCAGCAAACAGGATACACCCACTGTTATTGCAGCTGTCCATACGAGTAAAACACCGTAGATGTAAGTGCTGGTGCTTGTTGCGCGATGTCGAAGAGGCCACATCAAAGCGAAGGCTCGTTCCAGTGAAATGAGAGCGAGAAAAAACACAGATGCAGTCGAAAATGCAGCTTGAAAACAAGTTGAAATATCTGGCGTATACCTGTCGCTAACTTTGCGTACACCAGTAATATGTGGAAAGGCAATCGTTCCGACCATAGCAATTTGTGTGAGTCCAACAAGAAGATCTGTAACTGCCAAGTTGATAAGGAGAAAAGAACCTCGCTTCAATTTGTGTCGATGAATCCAAAACACAAATACAGTGAAAAAATTGCCAAGAAAGATGCAAAATCCTTGGAAAATTGCAATGCATAGTATTGCAATTTCAGCTTTGGACATGTCAAACATGATGCAACAAATTCCGTGAAGGTTGAAACTTTCGATGGCGAAGTTAGCAGCTGATCTTTAGTAAAACAGTAAGAAAAGTTGAGATTCGAGCCAGTGTATAATTTAGGAAGGTGTGCATTGATCCGTGATTGGTTTCCTGATAGTTTAAATTAAAGATGAAATTCAAATTATATTTAGTGTAAATTATGGTTATTTTCCCTACCTACTGAACTCACTTTTAGACTAACCCTTTAAAGCCTGATGAAGATTAAGGTTATAATTGTAATTTGTTGCCCAAATTTATTTCCTATAGAACTAGTGGGGCGAAGTTAATAAAAGATGTGTGATCATCTCCTTAATTCTCATTGCGAAGCTGTTATATAAAACATAAGATATTATATGGAGAAATTTGATGCTTATCACTTCCAGGGCTTAAAGCCATTGCCGGGTTTAAATGACTGCTTCGGTGCTCTGACTATGCCGTTATATTTATATCACTGTTCACTGTTCTGTTTGAGGAAAGCAACTGCAACAATAAAAAAGGAGTTTAGACGGCTGTTCCACTTTTTGAAAAGAAAAATAATTTACAATTTAATACAAATTTTACTCAAACAGAAGAAAGTCTTTGTAGAGTACTGGGGGGATTATTCACACCTTGGGTAATAGAGTAGGTAATGTAAAAATATGTTTCTCATATAACACTCACAATGAAATAGAGTTCAAAGGAATAAAGAACAATGATTAAGTCTTTTTACTCGTGTTGTCTTATGTCATCATTTTGGACTTTTTTCGTTAAAGATATAACAACCTGTGTCACAGAGTATCGATATTTCGAAAGCGAGATTTCATTAAGTAGATTTGAGAAGAGTAAATTTTTTCAGTTTAACTGAAAAAGTGTTGAATTAAAACGTTTTGCAGATTTTACATCCAAAATATACTGTCTTATTTTGTTTCAAAGGACGAAGTATGGTTTAAATATTACACAGTTTACAAATTCTAGGGTTACCTCTCCAGTAGATTTTTTTTTTTCCTCGTACCTTCGTTGCCACATGTCTGTTTTTAAAACATATCGTAGATGTATGAAAAGGAGTCCTTAGAGCGAAAGCAACTGACCGTTCGGACCTTAAAAACAGTCTAAAACAAGCAAACAAATAGGGACTTTTTTGATCCATATTTTTATATATTTACATTTTATAGCATTTATATCGCGCTGATTTCATAAAGTCCAGCAGCACTTCACTATCAAATGAGTAGTATATTAAAGACAAAACATTCATAATCAACACTCCGATTCGATCTTTTAATTAAATCTGACCGTGAGATTTGACATTCGGTAACATTGTTTAGACTGAGATTGATAATAGTCTATTCACTTATGTCCGGAGTAATTATAGGTAGAAGAAATTGATTTTTAGGGCATTTGAATTGACCACAAAGTACAAACAGTGACATCTTCAGGGAAACATCCTCCATTTTTTGTTTCATTACAGCCGAACCTGGGTTAACTGGACACCTCCAGTCAGTGGACAACTCCCAATTGGGTGGACACCTAAAAGCAGGTGGACACCCCTTCCGAGAGCTGACACATCCCGTGGGTTGAGACCACCTCTTTTTTTCCTTCTTTTTCTTCATTATATTTTTTATTAGTTTTAATAAATAATTAATTGAACTCGTCTTCAATATTCTCCTCTGCCAATGATAATTCACTATTAGTAATATTTTAGTAGGGGAAAAATTGACTAATTTAATTAAAATCAGACATGAAAATGCTATTAGTTATTCGTTTCGTAGGCGTGTTAATTTCCATGACATACTACTCTGTTGATTGCATCTGCCTTTTGAAAGTTTTCTATTTGTCTTGAGGCGGAAATGGCGAGATTGATTTTTAAGTTTAATTAGAAGTTCTTTTGGTGGATCTTTTTTAAATAGCCGATCTCCGTTAGATACAAAGGGCTGCAATTTGGAAGCCAAAAGATATCTCTGCTCTCTGGTTACTTACAAAAATTAACTGGCTCATTTTTTAACTATGTCTGATATCAGTGACCTTGAACATGTGTCCTTATGAATTTTTATTCTTCTGTCGGTCTTCATTGTTGTTGCCAATACTTTTACTGTAATTGTGTTCTGGATTCATCGCAACAAGCTAAAGCGGACATTCTTTCTCGTCATTAACTTGACTGTTGCTGACTTTCTTGTTGGATTTACTGCAATAATTGTGGCAGCACTGCCAATAGCTAATCTTCCGCAACAGACAGGACTAAGAAAAATGCTGGGATATCAGACTTTGGCAGCATCTTTCCACGCCTCTTGTTCAGCATCTGTGTTCTTTCTTGTACTTATTTCATTGGAACGCGCCTTCGCATTGATATGGCCGTTTCGACATCGTTTAACAGGCACCAAGGTTTACATCTACAGTGTGGCTATCGTTTGGTTCGCTGGGATAGCTATGGGTGTATTTAATTTTCTGTCGACGTATGAGATTCTAGATCTTGTGCATTATTCAGTTGGATTCTCTGTTGTCATAAATTTCTGTTTGGTTACGATCTGTGTGTCGTACTTATCGATCCGAAAACAAATTAACAACAGGAATTCAGCTATTGACTCCGCTCATAGAATGCAAAGTGTTGAACAAAATACAAGACTGTCCAAGACATTTTTCATCGTGGTAGGTGTCTCTATTGCATTTTGGGCTCCAAGCGTCACATTTTACTGTGCAGGTGATTTGGGTCTAATCGTGTATCCCGAGTTTGTAAAGTACATTATCACCATGTTACATCTAAGTAATTCTCTTGTGAACCCAATAATTTATAGCTTGAGAATGCCAATATTCTTGAAAAGCTTCAGAAAACTGAAACGTATGTGTAAAATTTCAAAGCGATCGAAAAGTGACGCTGTTAGCAATGAACACTTGCAATATATAAAACTGAGATGGAGAGTTTTATTGGCGAGTGAAGTCGACTTAACTTTTCAACTGTGGAAAGGCTTTACATGATCCAGGGCAGACGAGAAGACAGACGTTTTCCGCCTGAATATGTTTCTTTTTGAATAGTCAAAATGTCTTTGAATTAAGTAGAGGAGGTTGAGAATCACTGCATTTTTAAAGATATTAAAATAGGGAACTAAGCTTTCACACTTGGTGGTATATTTTAATGAAACCATGTGGCTTCCAATGTTAGGATGTTATTGCCCAGATGTACCCTCATTCGTGTCGAGTTTGTGTATAGGACGTTGTCTTAGTAACAACTTTCCTAAGAGATATGTCAAAGTTTTCACGTATTCTTCAAGTAAGTCAAAAGCAGTGGAAAAGGAGTTAAAGAGAGCCCCGAATAAAACTGCAATTTCGAGTTAATCATTAACATCAAAAAGAAAAATCGCAAGCAACGCAAAAAATCGTTGACCTTGCGATTTTCCGTAGTTTTCTCAAATTTTGTAAAACTTACAGGCTTGCTTTCCACTCATGCCATTAATAACAGAAAGAATCTCAAAATGTTGCAATGAACGCGAAAAATCGTCTATCTTGCAGTTGTTGCGTTTTTTGGCAAATCGCAAATTTTGCAGCTGTGTAAAAACCTGGACATACAGTGCTCAAAACAATGTCCAGGAAAGAAAATCTCCTTTTCATCGAGCATTCTATGTGCAGTTAATGTCTTATAATACTGTTAGCGACATACAAATGACATGACATGCTATTAAAATTTTGAACAATAATTGTTGATTTATGGTAATATAGCTATTAAGAGCAAGAACTGAGGATATGACAGATTCGTAAATAAATCGGCTGTTTTCTCTTTCTAAGTCCAAAGTTTCTGCATATTGTTCTCAGTGAAACATAAATTTGAAGGCAACGCTGCCTGTGATAAATCAAGGAACATTTCCTTTAAATTGAGTTTTAATTCCACCATTATAATTGGAACAAATTAATTAAATTTTACTTAATATGTAGTTCTCTAGCGAATTAATAGTACTTCGCTCCATAAACACTCTGATTCGATGTCTACTTTCTATCAAATCAGATATCGATGTTACTCGACGTTATGTAAATTAAATTGCTTCGACATAAAATGACCGTGAGGTATGTAATATTCGGCAACATTGTTTAGAGATTGATGATAGTCTTTTCATTTACATATTTACGGAGTAAGAATGTTGAGAAGAAATTGACTTTTTAAGGTATTTGAATTGACGACAATGCACAAAGAATGATATGTTCAGGGAAACATCCGCTGATGTTTATATTCACCACAGTCGAACCGGCTCAGTTAATGGACACCTCCAGTCAGTGGAGAGCTCTCGACTGGGTGTACACCTAAAGCAGGTAAGCAGGTGACTGGACACCCCTACACATGCCTTGGCTTCACATCTTTCATAAGGAGACATTCACATTGAGAGGACACTTCCCGTAGGCAAAAAAGAAGTTCCCCACAGTCACTGTCGGGGTCAGCTCTTCTTAGTTTTTCTGGTTAGAGGAAAAAAAGGGACCCACTTTGCTTCTGTTCATGTTTGTTTTTATTACATTACAATGATTTTATTACATTACAATGCTATCAGTGATTCATTTCACCGGCTTGTCAATTCAATGACATATTTACTGTGTTCATTGCATCTCCCTTTTGAAAGCTGTTTATTGTTCTTTTATGAGGTTTACAATACTTGAGGCTGAAACGGAAAGTAAAACAGTTGTAAAGTGCAAATAAATTTCAAGCTTAATTAAAACTCGTTTTGGAGTTTTTGCAAGCCAAAAAGCCAAAAGATATCTCTCGCTATCAACTGGCGTATACCGTTCTTTTCCACTATGTCTGATACCAGTGAGATAGTGTTTTTGTGCATTCTCATTTTTCTGTCGGTAGTCATTTTTATGGCCAATGCTTTTACTGTTTTGGTTTTCTGGATTCATCGCCACAAACAAAAGAGGACATTCTTTCTTGTCATTAACTTAACTCTTGCAGACCTTCTTGTTGGATTCACTGCAATACTTGAGACAGGAGCGGTAGTTGTTCTTCCGCGACTAAGCAAAACCAATCACAAGGGAGACATGTACAGTTTATCGGCGTTCCTCTATGCCTTTTCATCAGCATCTGTATTCTTTCTTGTACTTATTTCATTGGAACGTGCCTTCGCTTTGATTTGGGCGCTTCGACATCGTGCAACAAGCACCATTATTTACATATACATTGTGGCTATCGGTTGGTTCGCTGGGATAGCTATGAGTGCATTTTATTTTCTAAGCATGCATAAGATATTCGACTTTGAGGATTATGCAGTTGGATTCTCAGTTGTCATAAATTTCTGCTTGGTTACGATCTTTGTGTCTTGCTTATCGATAAGGAAAAAAATCAACAACAGAAATCCAGCTTTAGCTATTGAGTTCACTCGCAACGGGCAACGTGTTCAATGTGAACGAAACACAAGACTGTCCAAGACATTTTTTATCGTGATAGGCGTGTCTCTTGCATTTTTGGCTCCAGGCGTAACATTTTTCAGTGTAGCTAAGTTGTGTGCATTCGAGTATCCCCAGTTTGTGAATTACATCCTTGCTATGTTACATCTAAGTAATTCTTTCGTTAACCCAATAATTTATAGCTTAAGAATGCCAATATTTATGAAAACCTTGAAACAATCAAGGAATAAGTTTAAAATTCCAAATCGATCGAGAAAGTACACTATTAGCAATGAAAACTTGTAACTATGTAAAGATGTATTTGTGATGCACGGAATCTTTAAAAGGGATCCACACTTACTGGTTAGAGATAATTATTGAAATACATTCAAATAAAGAACTATCTTATCTATGGGTTACTTACAGTGCGAGTACCGCAGAGAGGGAGGGGCTAGAAGGGCTTTAACACTATCCTTTATGAAAAACAAATTGTTTTTACCAGGTTTGTTTTCGATCATTGTAGTAATAACTTAGCCTATTAAAGTAGCTTCAACCAATTTTTTCATTCACATGTTGACCTCTTTGTAAACTTTGCACTTTTTGTTATTTTTTTTTTGTTTGAAACTTTTATCGTTAATCACTTGGTTTCAAAGGACGGTTAGATTCTTGCGTTCACAGTTTCTCTCAAGAAATAATTTGATTTTGGATCAATGTTTCGCCGAATTTTTGGTTTTGATACGCTCTTGCTTTTTCCATCAATATTTGAAACGGTCAGCACAGCTGTGAATTATATTCTAAGAAAAAAAACCCATGAATTTAAGGAACCCGAAGAAGGTAAACAATGTTTGGAAAACGTCGTTTACAAAACGGATGCTCAGAACCATGCTGTAGGTTGCAGCTGAGCCGCCGTTACGAGATGCAATTTGTTGATGGCGTTGGAAGCTGCTTTGTCACCGTTCACATGGTCTATATTTCATCCTTAAAAGGTCTGAGATTAGACCTGATTCTGCCTTTTTACCTTTTTCAATTTAACCCTTTAAACCTTAAGATAAAAATTTGAATTTTCCTTTTGTTGCCCCTATTCATTTCCTACAGGAGTAATGGGGAGAAGTTGATAAAATATCAAGCAAATTCATCTTGTATGATCATGTCCGTAATTCTCATGACCACTCTGTTATACAAAGCATTGATATTTCAAGGAGAAATTCGATGCTGATCACTGTTAGGGCTTAAGGGGTTAAGGGGCGTTGAGTATCTTATGTATGAAGAATTATGGAGATCGAGGAGGGTGTTATCCGTCGAGGCCGTAGGCCGAGGCGGATAACACCCGCCCAGATCTCCATAATTCTTCATATGATACGAAAGCTCAAAATAATTCCTACTTTAAAAACATGGCTAAAATTTGCTTCCTCCATAGATCCATCGATGTTAAGGCGATCTTCGATAGTACTCGTTTAGGGTTGTTCAGCTCCGCAAAATAGTATTCTCCAAATAGCAGATGTCGCACCTCGAGTTGTCTTCTTGCTGTTCTTGCCATGTTTGTAGCTATTATTTCGCCCAGTGCTTACTCTTGAAATGAGTGAAATGTCTGCCATCTGTGTCTTCACAACCAAAGCAACACAACCTCGTCCCCAGGTCGTCTCGGTTAACGGTGCATTAACCTGCAAGGAAGCTGCACTTTTGACGTCATCGGTTCATTAAACGCAAAATTCTTCCAAATTTGGTCATCAGTAGCTGGTTATGGTGAATTATGCGTGTGCTTTTAGCCAATCACAATGGGGAAATTATTTTGAATGAATAGTAATATTAATTAGAGCTGTAGAGAGTCGGCGTATCATCAAACAGCAGTGAAAATTTGCAGGAAAGCAATGTCCTACCTGTTAATTTTTTTAACGACCAAAACAGGGACATTACGTCATCAGTCACGTGACCAGAATGTTTTCAAGATTTTTGTTCGTTTTGAAAGTACATTTTCCATCATAAATTGGTACGTTTTTGTTGTTTTTCTAAATGTTTACAATGTATTACCTCTAAATTGACCGATATTGCAAGACGACAAAAGGCTAGACGTCATTGACGTTAACGTATTCCACACAAAATTAATTAAACCTGCAAAAAAAAAAAAAGCACACGACCTTATCTAAATGAGATTCCATAATTTGGTAGCTATGGCACTACTCATCATAATTCGAAAATTCAGTAAAAGTTTCTTTTTGGAGTTTTTCTAACGAGTAATAATACTTCGCTCCATAAACACACTGATTGGATCTTTTCATTAAATCAGATATCGATGCTGTGTGGGAAAAATGTTATTTTAAAATATAAAATTGTTTTAAATTGCTAATTAAAACTAACAATAAGGTTCATTACACCCGGTGACATTGTTAAGAGATTGACGACCGGCTATTCACTTATTTCCCGAGAAAGAATACGTAGCTGAAATTGATTTTTAAGGCATTTGAATTCATGAGGACAATCGAGTTTCAAAGAATGACATGTGCATGGAACCATCCTCTAGCTTTTTCATGCACCTAAGTCGAGAGATAAGCTCCCATGCTTGAGCACCTTCTCTGAGAGCTGACACGTCCCGTGGGTTGACACTTCCCAGGTAGCGCGGGACACCGTTCCGTTGGAAGACATCTTGGTCATGGTCACAAGGACATACACAATTCACTGCTTTTAGGTGGTCACCTCTTCATCTTGTCTGGTTTGGTACTAGAAAACAACCATCCACTGTGCTGCTGTTCATGTATGTCTTTAATGTCATTTTGTTTTCTATCAGTGAATAAAATAAAATTTTAACGCCTAAATGACGTCAGAGTGACGTATTTGCAATGTTTCTTTGACCTTTGTCATTTCAATGACATACGAAAAACATGGTATTTCAACGACAATGGACTCAATTTTACATTTTGAATTAGTTGTATATTATTTCTTTGTAAAATATTAACTCTGGGCAGCGCCATTAAATACACTTTTTGCATTTAATATTCTTCCCTCCGAATGATAGTGGTCCACAATCTATATAAATCACTATGTTATTTTAGTAGGAGAGAAAACAATAGTCTTACTTAATTAAAAGTAGACTTAAGAAGGCTATTGTTGCTTTATTTCTCTGGCGTGTTAATTTTAATGACTCGTCTACTCTGTTGATTGCATCTCTCATTTAAAGCTGTTTATTTACACTGCTGAATCATTGACGAGGTTTACAGTACTTAAGACAGAAACCAGAGTAAAACAATAGCACAGCGCAATTGAATTTTAATTAAAATCTCTTCGGGGACTTTATTTAAATTGCCGGATCATTTAAATATGAAAGGCTTCATACACGCTGGAAGCCAAAAGATATGTTTGTTCTTTAGAGTCGCAGAAAAATTATCTGGTTCAAAACGTTCTTTTTATTATGGCTGATATTAGTGACACAGTATTTTTGGGCATTCTCATTTTTCTGTCAGTCGTTATTCTTGGTGCAAATACTTTTACTGTATTTGTTTTCTGGATTCATCGCAACAAACTAAAGCGAACATTCCTTCTACTAATTAACTTGACTGTTGCCGACCTTCTTGTTGGGTTCACTGAAATACAAGTGGCAGGATTGGCAGTTAGTCTTCTGCAACTAAGCAAAACCAATCACATGGGATATCAGAGTTTATCAGCATCCTTCCACGCCTTTTCATCAGCATCTGTGTTCTTTCTTGTACTTATTTCACTGGAACGGGCCTTCGCTTTGATTTGGCCACTTCGACATCGTGCAACAAACACTAAGACTTACATATACAGTGTGGCTATCGGCTGGTTCGCTGGAATAGCTATGGGTGTATTTAATTTTCTGTCCACGTTTGAGATTCTCGATTTTGTGCATTATGCAGTTGGATTATCAGTTGTCATAAATTTCTGCTTGGTTACGATCTGTGTGTCGTACTTATCGATCCGGAAAACTATTCAGAACAGAAACCCAGCTGTTGGCTTTGCATGTAACAGGAAAAATTTTGAACAAAAGAGGAGACTGTCCAAGACATTATACTCCGTGATAGGTGTTTCTATTGCGTTTTGGGCTCCAAGTGTTACAATTTACACTCTAGGTAAATTGTGTGTAATCGTGTATCCTGACTTTGTGAATTACATCATCACCATGTTACATCTAAGTAATTCTCTCGTAAACCCAATAATTTATAGTTTGAGATTGCCAATATTCATGAAAACCTTTAGACAACTGAAAAATAAGTTTAAAATTCCAAAGCGATCGAAAAAGTACACTGTTAGCAATGAAGCCCTGTAACATATATAACTTGAAATATGAAATATGACAATTGAAAACGTGACGTTAAAATAAGAAGCTGTCTTATGTATGTGTAACTTACAAAAGTAGTAACGGCCATAGGAGACAAAATACTTTTCCCAGGAAGGATGTCTTCGCAAAAATCGGTTTAGTTAGACAAGATGTTTTTAAAAAGATGTTACAAGATGTTCAGTACGGTTAACAACACTTCGACTTTACTCAAAGCCATAGTAGTGTTTAAAACATCATGGCTAGCGTGCACGATCTACTCAGACGTTTTTAATTTTTCTTAAATTAAAACGTCAGACTCCTTATATTTTAAATTAACGCGAGTAGTAAAGGAGGCTCAAGAAGGTCCCAACCAATCACAGCGCAGCAAAATTTTTCTCGACCAATCAGAATCAAGCATACAGCCCACGTGACCAAAGTGACGTCAAAGCTCCCAAATATGGGCATAAAAATCACGTGACCCCCCACAAGAGGTGGATCCGCATACTTGGCATAGTTTTGAAGGACCGCGTAGAACCTGGGTACAAGGGAGACACTCAAACCAAAGTCCCAGTCCCCTCGCATTCCCCAAAGTCAATAAAAACACACTCTATTGAGGACAACATCATTGCATGAGTTTTAATGAACGTACCGCGTAAACCCTAAGTTACATCCGGGACGTATGTGACGCCCAAATGACGTCACGCCCATGGTTTTATATAAAATACACATTGCGAAGAAAGGGTGTTTGCTTCCTGGCTGAAGGAGTCATGAGCAATGGATTAGGCCATGAAATGTAGTGGTTGAAACCTATCAAGGACCATGGTTTAGATAAAGGTCGACGTAAATCGAAACGGGTGGCTGAAACGAAAGGAGGGGGTGATTAGAGCCAAGAAGCAAACTGAATCAAAAACACTCGACCATTGGCACGCACGAGGCGGTGTCTTACTGTCCAATGATTGACTGGAAAAACAAAAAAAGACTTGTTTACAATGTGGGACGTGTGTGACACCCTCGTGGTGTCACGCCCGGAAAAGATTGTACACAAAATAATTCGATTAAAATCCAGTCTTGGTTAAAATTAAAATGTTGTAAGATCCAAAGCGTTTCTGGGAAAAAAATTAACGTTTTAGTTTGAACAAATGGAGTAAGCTGGCCTGTCCTTGATAATTGATAATACAAAGTTTGTGAGGGATGATGCTTTTGAAAATCATCACTTGGATAATCCAATGGGAATCTAATTAACAAAAAATAATCATGAACATCCAGCAGGGGTGGCGCCACCATGCAGACCTCCCCCTGCCGGGTGTTCAAAATTCCCAATCCATGCTGTCCATCATGGCACAGCCCCGACAAGGTTCATGGAGTTCGGACACGTGCCGTAAATAAATCCAGCACCGTTTACACACAAAATATAATTTCCCAGTCAAATTTTGGAGGGACCTGGAATGTTGCTCCATCACCTGGGCAATGGCTGAAATAAGAAAGGGAGATAAATGGCTCGCATGACAAAATGAGAATCTGAAAAAAATAAAAAACATGTTTTTAAGGATGGGGTGGGTAGCCCATGGTTTGCAATATCTCGCACCAATAACAGGGCACATGTAAGTCACTAGCACGACGAAAGTTCAAATAACAACGACAACAAAGTAATTTAATGGGTCTCGGAATTGGAAGGGCAAGCCCCGATCCAGTGTACCACTGCACGATACTGCCGTGGAAACACCATGCAGCGGAAGTACCATGAACCCGGTGGGTACTGAGAATGGTATGCGAATCTACAAAAAGAATAATGGATGATTACTCTTCTGAGCCCATAAGTAAATAATCAAGACGGTCTTGTATCCAACATCTGTACCCATAGATTTCAATCGCGATAATCACATCTAAAAATTTAATAATAATGGGCTAAACTCATGAAGACTATGGATGATTACAGTATTGCACGAAATGATGAACACTATGAATATGGTATCGTTGGTATACGGCAATGATCCACCCCCATTCGTCCATCATAGAATTCACATCTGAAACGTTTCATGAAGACTAATTACACATCGAACCGTACTATAATGACATCGCAATTGCACGGGTCTAATCCATCCTCCATACTGTTTTAATGTATAATGAAAGCCTACAAAGAGGTGGAAAGTCGAATCAAGACGGGAATACTGGTACGAAAAAAACCGGCTTGCAAAGGGCGGATCCATTGCGTATGATGACGCAACAAACAATGCGTGGCTGTAAAAAAAAATTTAACTAAAATTAATCCTCCTCTAAAAAACCTAAGGCGGCCAAATCCGGGTCATCCACGGGACCCTGGCGCCGGAGAAACGAATTAATACGAAAAGTCATTCGCAACGGCCAATCATCCCAGTCCCGATGGTTGGGGTCCCCACTCTGCACAAACTCGACAATATCATCTTCAGTGAGGGACCCCTCCCGGTTACCAGCAATCACGTCATCTAGTCTTAATCCCTCCATCATTCTCTCGCAATGATTACACACGCCGCCAGGGGTGGGATGCGCAACCCATTGATAAATATGGCACACAGGCTGATTCTCCACATGATCCCAAGAATCTAATAAAAAAATGAAAATCAACAGGAACAGGCTGGGACCCAGAACCGCGCGGCCCAATTGAGTCGAGCTCGTCGAGGGCAAAGACACAAGTGGACAGGCCACAGCACGTCTCGTAAAATCGTAAACCCCTTGAACACGTCTAGGAATCAAAAAAGGGACATGAGGGAAAAAAGGGACCCACACACCCGAAAAAATGAAAGCCATGACACTTACCAGCCATGCGGCGGCGATGGACCTCATGATCCAACTTCCTGGCGACAGGGTGGTCCCACGGCAGCGTTTTAGCCCAATCTCTCAGCTCTTCATGAGTGCAGCGACGGAAAAAGGCGCGCAGACAGTCACTTCTTAGAGGCGTGTGCCACAACAACTTTAGGGCGTCAAATAACATGGCGATCGGCATCGAATATAACACAATAGACGATAGCGAGCTCACCATCTTGAACAGGTAGACTGAACAAACTGGAATGAACCCACACTAAGCGCGCAACGTGCTTTAGAGACGCCACGAGCGAATCAGATGAGTGGAGAACCATCACGTGAGGTGTCTAGGAACGAGAGGAGACTCTAGGGGGTACCCCCCATGGGTACACCTTATCCTCCCTGGACCAGAGGGTCTAGCGCGAGTACGTGATTGGTAGAGACTAGAGGATTAATAAGGGAATGTCAAGAAGAGACATCAATCGCATGCTGCTCACTGTGTCAGAATGGACTGCCGAGGATTAGTCGACCCCAGGAACAAACCATTTGGCCGCGTGCTCCCGTTGGAAGTCCAAATTAAGATCATGTTCTGGGTAGAGTGCTTCTACACGATGGACAAGCGGAAGAAGGTGGTGCAAGAAATCAAGGGGCTACCCAAATGCGACATCACCGGTTTCCCACAACACCTGGGCGAGGGCCGTTGGTGGAACCAAGTGGTGGTGCGGTTGCACGCCCCCCGAAAAAATGGCTGCCACCACTGCCACCGCCTCATGGATCACCGACTCTCGGTGAGTAAAAAAGTGGTTTGACTCTTTGTCTTCTCATGACCTTGACGTTGAGAATTTGTTTTTTCTGGATTTTTTAGATTGGCATGATGGTGGAAATGGCGCGTCAACCTCCTAATCTCGACCACCTATTGAACGAGGGCATTGCCTTTATCATCAACACATACAAACACCAGTACCCCCAGTGTCCCCTTGGAAGACGCCCCGTCATGATAGGGAGAAGGAAACCCACCTATGATACAGTGGACAAAGTCATGAGGAGACTAGACTTGATCATGAATGTGATGTCAGCCATGAATTTTGTGGTCATCGATATTCATTAAAAAACAAATGATGTGGTTTAGAACTGTGTCTTTTTATTGGTGTTTAAATAAAGCTTCTAGGGTGGGATAAATGACTTGGTCTTCTTCTCGCGTGCCTACAATAGCGGTCTTGTCTTGAAGGGTGGGGAGGGCAATGTAGTCCTCGGTCATGCCTTCACATTGTTGATAGTGACCTAGGGTGGGATTCCACCATAACCATTCTTCCCGATCCACATCAAAGACATAGAGGGGTTTGCCTAAGAGCTGAGCCATGACCACACTCCAGCCTGTGCCGCCCAAGAGATGCTTGTGCAACGCGTCAAAATAGCCTACGGCCAAGACTAAGGACGCCGGCTGGATCACGTGCACATTCCGCTGGATATACTGGAGACTGATGGGATGATGCACTTGTCGACCCAATCGAAACGCGGCCTGGGTCACGGTAGGGGTGGCAGCGTCCAACTCCGTTTGCGTCAAGGGCGTGAGAGACTTGGCTCGAGGGTGACAGGGTGGAATAAGGACCACACACGCGTGTCCATACAGCTGACATAATCGTTCCACATGCGTGTCCACGCCTTTCGCACCGCCCGTGTAAATAGTCAGCGGCATGGTCTGTGAAAAATTAAAAACAGTGTTTAGGGTGAGATAATGGAGTCCAAGCCCATAGGGTATGCGGTTCATCATCGGCGTACAACATAGGGGTTTGCCATTCCCGACACGTGACCGTTTGTTCGAAAATACGACGGGCATGGCGACAATTGGAGCAATTATCGGGATTCCAATCCAGGCCTTGCCCTTGAGCGAACGCCTTGTCTTTGTCGTCCTTACATGGGTTGCATAAGATCACATCCAACAAACGATCGCATCGTTTTTGCCACAAGACGCGTTGAGCATTGACTTGGTACAGGGTGGGCAAGACATGGGAGTGGCGACGTAACCACCCACTCATTTGACAAGCTCGGACGTGCGCGCAATGATCGTGCCAGACCCCACTCTCACGAGCTCCGTCGGTATGATCCATACACCAATTACGTCCCTGATCGTTCATGGCCATCACATTGGCGGTGGCAATAGGAAGAGAGGCCAAGTCCAGGCAACCCTGCCCTTCCAAGACCACGAGGGGGTACGACCACTCTTGGCACAG